GAAACATTCAACATTGAATAATTATGTGGTTCCTCCCGCGAAACCTGTATATTTTACAACAGCAGCCGTGGACAATATTGACAACAACATGACTTCAAATACGGCTAAAGAATCGTTACATTGTACGACAATTTCAATATTTCAGCCTTTTCCTAGTCTAACTTTGCAAATTCGTCATAACCTTTTGCTTTGAAATATATATGCATTTCACTTATAATCTCTAGTACTTTAACCAATATATTATGCGCCAGCACAACTGTTCATATTATTGCTATAACTTAGTATATATTTTACTATATAATAAGATATATCCTTAATACTAACCAAATATAACCATGCGTATCATACTTACATCTAATAATAAACGTTTTATGGACATGCAATTTGTCAATTGTCTAACCAGATATACATGTATGCCAACCTGGTATAATTAGTAAAATGTGCAACTATATCCACACATGGTATAAATAAGTCAACAAAATGATAACACAGATGGCTTGAAACAGATAATAATGAAAACATTAAATATGTTTGGATAGCATTCCAGGAATGTAGAGCCAAGACAAATGATCACCCGCCTTTATATATCAGTCCGCATTCACCAATGGTTCAGGAAGAGATCACATCTGTCACGACGATTCGACATTCCATGAATACAACCCAGCAATATGTTAATTGTTTCCGAGACATGTATCAATTATCACTTGTGTTCAATCGTTTTTTGCTTTGCAAAATCGGAACAGTGGAACTGGGCAAACATATTTCTAGCAGAACAAAGAATAGTTTTGTTTTAGGTCTTCATATAGAAATAGCATAGAAATGGCATTGTTGAGGACCTTGTGTGATTAGTTAGAAAACAGTGGTTGAACAAGTGTTCAATCAAGGAAACATAATACTTAATGAGTAGCAGATTTTGTTAGAGGCTCTTATGCATCACGAACAAGATATTTCCATGAGATTACAGTAGGTGTACTTCTCATTCTAATGCAAAGATCCTGATATAATTTTTACTGAGGAACGAGACCCTGGTGAGAACTATGTAACATTTAAAGAATGGAGTTATAAGAGGGAAATTGACAGTCCATTTAACCACAACTGGCCTGTAACATTAAAGAATGAACTAGACATTTTGATGTTAGATCATTAAGAAAATGTTCCTTCCAGGTGTATAAAGATTCCATGATACTGCTTATTTATTGGTTCGTTGCATTTTGCAAAACGTTGTATTACATTTTATGTGTTTTTAAAAGATTTGGTTTGACTATTATTTGCTTTAATAATACTTGGTTGTAAAATTTAGACTGATTGGCAAACATCTTAAAAATGGCCTCCATATTGGATTTTTCAGAGTGGGTCCATAGCTTAAATTGACTACCACACACATATATATAATAAATACAATTGTGTAAAGTTTCATGCTTTAATCATCAAACCCACAATTCTTCTAAAAATATGCACGGATCAGCTGGACTATATAGCATTTTTATAAATTTGTTGAAATGTAAATTTTTAGCTTTTTATCGGAAAGTAGATTAGTTTTGTTACATAAATATGGGCTGTTTTTGACAATACAATGCACATGCATCACGTACTAGAATCATAAATTCATGCAAAATTACTGAAATCTTCACAATTTTAGCATTTGTGCTAATTTTAAGACGGTTTTTGTCTAAAATGGAAGTGGTCGCATGTGTGTTCAGTCTTAATATTAAAATAGATGTTGTATATGATGATAATACATATCATATATAAAACAAGAGGCTCTCAAGAGCCTGAATCGCTCACCAGTATTTCAGAGGAGAAGATTTTTAAATGTTAGCAAACTTGATGAACAAATTGTGTAAAATTGTCTTTAAAGGGCAATAACTCCTTACGGGGTCAATTGACAATTTTGGTCATGTAACTTTTTTGTAGATCTTTGCTGAACATTATTGCTGCTTACAGTTTATATATATCTATAATAATATTCAAAATAATAACAAAAAACTGCAAAATTTTGTTAAAACTACCATTTCGGTGGCAGCAACCCAACAATGGGTTGTTCGATTCGTCTGATAATTTCAGGGCCGATAGATCTTGACCAATTAAACAATTTTACCCCATGTCACATTTGCTCTAAAAGATTTAGTTTTTGAGATATAAGCCAAAAACTGCATTTGACCCTTATGTTCTATTTTTAGCCATGGCGGCCATGTTTATTGATGGATACAAACTTTGGATACAATTTATAAACAAGATACCCTAAGGAACATTTAGTTAAAGTTTGAAGGTAATTGGCCCAGTAGTTTCAGAGGAGAAGATTTTTAAATGTTAGCAAACTTGATAAACAAATTGTGTAAAATTGTCTTTAAAGGGCAATATCTCCTTAAGGGGTCAATTGACAATTATGGTCATATTAACTTTTTTGTAGATCTTACTTTGCTGAACATTATTGCTGCTTACAGTTTAAATATATCTATAATAATATTCAAAATAATAACAAAAAACTGAAAAATTTTGTTAAAACTACCAATTCGGTGGCAGCAACCCAACAATGGGTTGTTTGATTCATCTGAAAATTTCAGAGCTGATAGATCTTGACCAATTGAACAATTTTACCCCATGTCAGATTTGCTCTAAAAGCTTTAGTTTTTGAGATATAAGCCAAAAACTGCATTTGACCCCTATGTTCTATTTTTAGCCATGGCGGCCATGTTTGTCGATGGATCAAAACTTCGGATACAATTTATAAACTAGATAACTTAAGGAACAATTATTTAAAGTTTGAAGGTATTTGGCCCAGTAGTTTCAGAGGAGAAGATTTTTTAAATAGTTTACGACGACAGACGACGACGACAGACGACGGACGCTAAGTGATGGCATAAGCTCACATGGGGCCCTTCGGGCCCCGGTGAACTAAAAAGGTGGAGACTGAACACGAATGCGGCCACTTACATCTGAAAAGTGACGTTTTATTTTAGACTTTTCATATTTAAGCTTGAATTTGATGACCAAATCAGTTCAAATCTTTTACATAAACTAATTGAATCGACTGAAGAAGACACTTAAGTGTTAAGAAAATGTCAAAAATCTTTCTTCTGATGTACTTCAAATTTTTGGCCAAAACTAGCCCCTACCGGACCTTCTCATTTAATGAAAAGCAGAGAGGCGGAGGCATGTTATTTACTTGTTTAACTTATTTTCATCTGCTGTCTTAAAAACACTTAAAATACAGCCTGAATTATATCGGTGCGACATTATATAACGTTGCGACAACGTTGTATGGATGATGGCGTCCACATAATGACGTTGTTTTGACGTCGTTTTCCGGCGTTGCGACAACGGTAAACTAAATTTATCGGCAATTTGTTCAGTTTCCCTTTGATCTTACTGCCTAATATTTTTAGGATCATGGACAGGACTTAATACTCGAAAATATTAGGCAATGACGTCATGTATCAGTGCAGCAAGTGCTCAAGTCCATCCACGTCAATTTATCAATGAAATGCACGCGACTTCATTCATACAACCGAACAACTATCCCAACATTTTGTACGCGTAAAAGTAGTTTTACTAACTATTTCATTTTACTTCATATTCTCAACCAGAAAAATAAACAGCTAGGACAAATTGCCGATAAAAAGAATAATGCTCGCTTGATATTCTTGCTGATAAAGTCGGTATCAAAAACAAAAATGCCATTATTTTATATATATATATGTTGTCAGAATCATTTGTTGAGATTACAGTCTGTACGTGCCTGTTTTTTTTTTATTGATACAATCATCTGAAAATATTGAATATTTGCTGTATTCTTTCAAGTGTTGCCAAAGGGTTAATCTGCATTGAAAATTTGATATATAAGAAATAAAATAGAAATAGTAAAAACTTAACCAGAAGTGTATTTTAACTCATCATAGATACCAGAACTAAATTTTGTACGCCAGACGCGCATGTCGTCTACAAAGACTCACCAGTGACGCTCGAATCAAAGTATGAGTTTAGGAGCATTAAGGACCCAAAATTCCGAAAGGTTTTTCCCTAAAACATCTAAGGTAGTCTATTCCTGGTGTAGAGCATCCTTTGTTTTTTGGATGCAAGTTATTAAGAAATATTAGGATATATTAGGATTACAGATGAAAAGTTATAAAGTGTAGCCTAAGAATAAACAGAGAGGTTACAAAATATGGGGCAAAAGTTGAATACATGAGAAGCAAACATTCAACCCTCTTGTTCGATTACTACAATATTATCGAATATAAAACAACATTTACCTAAAAAACGCCGTTTTGATGTGATTTTATCCAAATTTGAATCGTAGAAGTAACATAATAACCTTCAGTTTGTAAGTTCTCATTTGTATGACGTCACGTTAAGCCAAGACGTAAAAATGTATATACGCCAAAATCATTCATGAAGTTTCGCGGAATTTTATTTTATTTCAAATCTATACATTTTTCAAGCTCTAACGTATCATTTCCAAGTTTTTGTAATGCATTTGAATCGGAATAACAGTACTGTAGTTGAAGAGTTAATGCCGCCGTCAATTTTGATTCAAGCGTGTATCTATTTTTTTTTTATTTTGTTTGGCAAAACTCTCCTTGTCATATCTTAATGATGGGCACCTATGTTAATCCATAGCGCGAACTACCGACAAGGGACATGTATGTCCTAATCGCGACCAAAGGGTTAATGTGATTACATTTTGATAGCCTTGAAATACAACAGCTGGACGTATGCGATGTCACAATGCCCGACTATGACGTCATGCGATGTATGCTGTTACACCCTGATAAAATTACATAGGAGATCCATTGAAGAAAAAGATTACACTGTATAATCTTTGGTGTTTCATTTGAAAGAGATACAGTAAAGAACAGGTGCTTGCATAAATTAAAAATATGGACAGATGTGTCCCTCGGCACAGTCGGTGTGGACATACGTGTCTCTCCGGCACCAATAGCGTTAAAACATCAAGAAATACTACACATGTTGTTATTGTTTGGAAATTTATGTTTCAGAACACAAGATCTCCAGTGTGATAACAGTGTCAATAACATTTTGCGTGGTTGGTCTTATAGCAACAGTGGCTGCATTAGCATATTCACTAAAAGTACGAAAAAAGTCTAACATTACTGAAGTAGCTGATTTTAATTTCCATCCACATATAAAGAATGGACCAAAAATTTCCACAGTGATGAAGAATTTATTATATGAGTTTTTAGAGAAAGATAGATTAAATAGGAGACAAAACATTTTAAACAAACAGCAATCAACAGTCAAGACATATGGCACTATTGAATCGTCAGACGATGACACGATGCTCTTATACAATCTGTGATAACTTTTTTTGTAATAGTTAGTATTGCTTAATATTTTCATACCATTTTACAACATATGTATTTAAATTTTGTGAACAGTCAAACAACGGTAGTTATGCCCCGCCTATTAAAGATAGTAATGTGGCATTATGTATTCTGGTTTGTCCGTTCGTCCGACTGGTAGACAGGTTAGTTTTAGGTCAAGGTAGTTAATCATTAAGTTGTATTCACATCAACATGACATTACTACACATGTTGAACTTTAGAAACTTTATGACAAATTTCGGTTTTGAACCAAATTTCACGGTTCACTATATACAATTAAGTAGATGTGTATGATTGCAAAAGAGACAAATATCCACCAAAAAAAAAATGAGAATGTAAATAATTAAGGTCACTCTAAACCTCGAAACCAATACTGTAAGCTATAAAAGGTTGAATCTTCACCCCAAAAAGCGACTTGGAAAATTGAAATCAGAGAACAATGGCAATATTTTAGTGATGGCCTTTCCTTATTTATCTGGCAAACACTAATTACAGAGTTGTGAACAGTCTGAAAACCTTCTTGACTCTATAACTGCTAAATGTGTTGTGATGAATATATGTCAACTATACGTCCCCAGTAAAAGCTATATTATGAAAAATCCCAAACATTTTGATTTTGGCAGAATTGATCTTCCTTAAGAATGCCATAGGCAAAACTCCTTTCCTTTAAGCTTAGCACCTTAGATCTTTGTGTTCATTTAGGTCCACCGACTATGAGGGCTACAGAAAACTACACCATGCATCCATGGGTCTTAGAGGATGTTCACTTATCAAATCAAAGTTTTTTTAATGAGCACAGTGACCTTTTCCTATGATTCAAGCCACAAACCAAATTTATGCTAGCTTCATAATTGTCAGTAAGCATCAGTGTGGTGCAGCTTGTTTGCACATGTTTGCAAATAAAGGACACTCTTTGCGTTTTCTGAAACAAATAAGCATGGTAAGAGAGTGTTATTATATGTACAATCAGTCACAAATTTTACACTTTGCATAGTAATTAATTACCAGACATTTTCTAATAGCTTGGAACTACTTTACATGACTTAATAACAATAAATGGATATATATGATAGTTGATTAATGTCGGTGCATGTCCAATGGTGAACCCTTTCAAATTTTACATTTTGATTTTTTTGAAACTACATAGTTATCAAACTGTGCATACAAATGGACATGTTGTTCCATTTCTGATGATAGTTCAAGTTTGCTTTGACCAAACTTTCCAAAATTTTATACAGTTTAACTATCCTTTATAATAAATTTTCTTTTTTTTTCAAATTTAGAGTAATGGGACTTTGAACCTTGAAAAAATGATTATATTTTTCTATATCTGATGACAATTCGTTTAAATTCGAGGAATTCAAGAAAGTTTTCTCTGACCAAAATTTTTCAATTACTACAATTTTCCTTTGGTATTTACATTTCCGCTTTCGGGGCTGCCAAGTGTTTGGCGCTTTTCAAATCAAAGTTGATATATGTAGAATTTTAAACAATCACTCATTGCTTTTACAATTCGTAGGAAATATGTGCATTATGTAAGAAAGGTGAAAAAAAAGGAATAAAATGGGTTATTGTTTACAGTTTTGACATACTAGTACCCTGGAATATCACGATCTCATTGCACAATAAACTGTTTGTTTTTGTTAAAATGTTATATAATGTTTTATTTTTAGATCAGTAGGTCTAAAAGGCTATGTGAGCTCTTAGCGTTCGTCGTCATGATTTCTTATGATTAAGGGGAGGACCATTTATGTGTGTGTGTGGGGGGGGGGGGGGGTGGAGGCTAGGGACAGGAGGATTTTTTGGCGGATTAAATATTCATGTTATGCTACTACGCTTGCTTATTTTTTTCTGCAGCTGTACCGCGCATAAATTTATTTTCACTTTTGTACACAATTATTTCCTACATCCTCCATCCTGTCTTGGGTAAGATTATTTATTTTCAGTTCTTACTAGGCCTTGATATTCATTTTTTCAAAATCATTCTGCCCTCAGATGTTAAAACTTATTTAGCTTCATATACATGTATCTAGTCACAAACATATGTACTGTGGATACCATTGAAAATGCTTGTCTCAATTACAGCTATACCAATTAGACTATAAATTATAGTACATATTCTCGTATGCTGTCTCATACCAAGTTCTATTATATATCGTTTAAACAATACTTGTGTTGATAACATAACTACACAAAAACGCAAGCTGTATGTTTGGTTAATTCAGAAAGCAAATAATTACAAAAAGTAACAAAATAGCAAAGCAAATATTAAAAACTAAAGCTTAGCGAAACAAGAATACAATACAAATACACTAAGCTTACTTCATACATCGTGCAAGTGGCACATTTCCATATAAACCTTTAAATACTCATCTTTGGTAAGGTTTAAATATACCTGTATAATGAAAATCATTAAAACAAACCTCTGTTAAGCATTATTTATTGTTTATAGTACAAACCCATGTCTACTATAGAAATTAATGTTAAGCCTAGATATCTATTTTTAGCTCTTAAGATATATTACTTTAATTCGATTAACCCTTAGAAATTACAGCATTCATAACGGTCCACTCGATCCGCCCATTCATTCATTTTTATACGTAAAGTTTATCTTCAAATCATTATTAAACCAGATTTTAATAGATTATTGAATTATTATTATATGTGATCGTAAAATCTACTCTTTTTATGGTTGTATACTTTTACAATCTGTTTGTTATAAAGTTTAACACTCGTTCTCGGCATTCACTCGAAACATGCATACATTGTAAAATATGAACTATTGGACCGTTATTGAAATATTAATAAAGAAAGAATAAGACTGACCTTGTTAAAGAAACTTTTCCAATAACATAATCATTGTTATTTAAGATATTTAGACCCCGTTCTGACTAGCTTTTTTTCAATCGATCTAAATTTAAATCGATCTAAATAAAACCAGTTAGCGTTCACATTATCTTTAATAATAACGATCTCTGTCGGTCTAATCTGAACCACTGCGTTCACACTACAAGTAAAATTGCAATCGATCTGACCTTATAACCCGTGAAATTGTAAACACTGTGTATAAATAGAAATATTTAATCAAATTAATGTGTTGATACACACGCTTGCAAAAAAATAATGGATGAAGTTATTGTTTCACTTGAATTACAGGTTAAAATGTTGATACTACTGTTCGTAAAGTTTTTGTTAACTTTCAGCCCTTTTATGTTGGTCATCCATTTTGTAATAAATTGCACGTGTAATTTTGCCGCCATGCATACATGCGCACAAATTATTTCCGATTGAATCGTACTAGTTTAGATCGATCTCTGCGTTCATATTTAAAGTTAGATCTGTTCACTTTAGATCGATTCAAACTAAACTACCTCTTTTGGTAATTTCTAAAGTTGTTAAATTGCAGACAAGTAAATGTATATATGTGTTGACAACAAGATGTCTTCCCATAAGATATAAAACAAGGAATTCAACCGCCAAAAATTACTAACCAATAGTAGAAATATAAGTTAGCGCTCAAATCAACCGGGGAAATAAGTTCTAACTGCAGTAAAACCAAACAGAAATATACAAAATACATAAAATAAGAGGTTATCACATAAACATAAGAAATTACGAAAACATTAGATAATTTTCGAAATCAGTTTTTGTCAAAAAGTGAATAGTGACGAAAAATTAGAGAAATTGAATACATTATTTTTATCCCTTGTCCTGTTGTACGAATACGATGATACAGACAGTCAGTAGTTTTCATTTAGACCATTTAACTTTATATTTACTCCATATTGTGAAAACCAACAACAATAACACCGTGTTTTACAGCTTCATGATAACAGCCAACAACTGCAAACAATTACTATATCAGGGGCAATAACTCCATAAGAGGTCAACAAATTTTTCTCCAATTATCAGAGTGTTTACGTCTTGTTATGTTGAACCTTTTTGCTATTTACACTTTTAATCTAGCTCTTATAGTTTTCACGATAACAGCCACCAACTACTAAAGATTGGGAAAACATCGATATTTCAGGGGTAATAACTCCAAAACGAGTAGTTAGATTTTTCTCCAATTTTCAGGGTGAATACATCTTGTCATGCTGATCATTTTTGAAATTTACACTTTTAACCTAGTCTCTATAGTTTTTGAAACAATGGCAAGGAAATGCCGAAAATTTAACTGTAATTTAATGTAACTCCAAAACGGGTAGACAAATTGTTTTCAAAATTTAAGAACTAGTTGTGCTAATCAATTTTATCCTGTCATTTTTTGTATTATTTCTATAGTATAAGAGATATTAGCAATAAAATGCTCCACAGGGCGCAGCTTGATACGACCGCAGAGATCGAACCCTGAACAATTGGGGCAAGTATGGACACAACATTCAAGCTTGATACAGCTCTGAATTTGGATTGTGATTAAATATTTGACACAGCATAGGTTTCTGACATAGATTGAATGTGTTCTAAGAACTTTAAAATATGAAATTGGCTGTTATGATCCAATATCCAAAATCTAACTACATGGTTAGATTCAACATATTAAAGAACCCAAATAATTAAATTTTTTATGAAATCAAACAAAACAGAAGTTTAATTTTGGACCCTTTGGACCACAATGTGGACCAATTCGATAACGGGGCCCAAAACCAAAAATCTATATACACGGTTCGAATCAGCATGTCAAAGAACCCTATATATTCAATGTTTGTTGAAATTAATCTAGGTTAAATTTAGACCCCGATTTGAACCAACTTGAAAACTGGGCCCACAATCAAAAATCTAAATATATGTTTAGATTCAGCATATCAAAGAACCCCAAAAATTCATTTTTTGTTGAAATCAAACAAAGTTTAATTTTGGAACACAACACAAATTTAAATTAGATGAAACCAATGTGTGAAAAATTGTCAATTCATTTAATTTTGTAAGTGGACCCTTTGGACCTTAAAAAAGTGGACCAATTTAACGACGGGGCCCAAAATCCAAAATCTCAATACACGGTTAGGTTCGGCATATCAAAGAACCCAATAATATTTTTTTTTTATGAAATCAAACAAAGTTTAATTTTTGACCCTTTGGACCTCAATGTGGACAAATATAAAAACGGGTCCCAAAATCCCAAAATCTCAATACACGGTTATATTTAGCATATTAAAGAAACCCAAGAATTCAAGACTTTGAATTGAACCCCATTGAAATTGGTCAAGAAATAAGCAATGTATACAAAGTATAAGAAAAGTATTGTTTTTGGCCCCTTATCCTAAACGGTTAGGGCCATAACCCCCAAAATAAATCCCATCTCCCTTTTTTGGTATGGAACCTTGTTGTACAATTTCAGAGGAGAAGATTTTAAAGAAAAGTTTACTGACGACGGACCCACAGTAATGGCGAAAACTCACATGGTCCTTCGAGCCAGGTTAGCTAATAAAAAAGGAATAGACGGCTCTTGAGTTCATCATACATAGTAAGAAAAAAGAGATATGGCATTATTTCTAGAGAAAATAAACATGTACGCAAGAACATTGTAAATTTTAAACCCTTTAAAGATGTCACCAAGCACAATAGACCTATTAAGATTTTCAAAAGTTAGAAGGTATGTTATCAAGGAAAACGGACAGAAAGTCGCATAATCGATAGAGCAAAAAGTCACTGTAAATCAATTAAGTGGTTGTTTGAATATATATGAGAAATTGTTCTGAAATAATTTCGTTTTATGAGATTCATTCGTTTTACAGAGTAAGGAAATTGTTCATCTGAATTGTTACATGGAGATTTATCAAATTTCAATCATGCAAATGAGATGTTTTGCTACCATGAAGCCAGTTAGCCAAACAAATCGCTAGTAGTTTGATATATATATTAAGGCGACAGAAGTTTACTGATGTTCAAATCTTGTAAATCGATTAATATCTCATGTGCATTTTCAAATTGTACTCCAACTTTGTAGACTAGAAATAAGTTATGATCAAAATCTTTTTTGTTGATCTTGTCATGCTGATTATTGTTGCTGTTAACAGTTTCTCTCTATCCACCAAAGTTTTCGCCAAAATGGAAAATAGGTAAATCTCATAGTTAAAGGAACTCCTATGAAGAGTTGACTGACAATTTCGGCCATGCTGACATGTTTGTAGATATTATCCAGCTAATAATTTTTGCTATAATAAGTTTCTATCTATCTATTATAGTTTCAAGATAATAGGCAAAAAAGCATAGTTTTTGACAAAATGCAAAACATAGATATTAGAATGCTCCGCAGGGCGCAGCTTGATACGACCACAGTGGCAGAACACTGAGCAATTGGGCCAAGTATGAAAACAAAATTCAAGCTCTGAATTTTGATTGTGACACAGAATGAATGTGGTCTAAGAACTAAAAAAAATGAAATTAGACATTTGGACCCTGATTTCGACCAACTTGAAATACGAGCC